GTGAATTGAGACGAGATGAGGTAGTGAGTGGGGTCTTTCAACTTGCTGGAGAGTAATATCAGCCAGGGACCTTGATATTACTATGTAATTGGAAGAGAAGAAGTCGCTAAGACGTCGCGGGGTGGGGGTGGGGGGGCACTTTCTGGGTGGTCCGTGAATGGGCTTTGGGGATGCGACCGAAAACCGAGGAGCGAGTCGGAGAAGAGTAGTTTAGACGCGAAGAGGAACCACGGTCTGTCGACACCTGTCTCCCTTCACCAGGGGTCCACAGTCCAGCCATTACTGCGTGGATTGTCCCCTTGGGGACAAAACCCTCCCGACTTGTTCCAGGGTTTGCGGGCTGGTGTGGTAGGGGGTCCTGGCTCCTTCCAGGCTCCGAGCTGTTCTAGGAGGAGGAGGCCAGAGTAGTTCTTTCCATTTTCCAGACGAAGGCACTGAGAGGCCCCGCCGGGTGCGTGCAGGAGACCGGTGGGTGAGCGGCACCAGAGCTTGGGCTGCTAGCGGTGTCTAGGCTGCTGAGGCCCTCCAGAGGCGGCCGGGAGCACCGCCTGCATTTGAGGTCTCTGTGGACTGGTGTTTTATCCACGCTTTTTTTTCAACGCTGCCTTTCTAAGGAGCCTTTTAGACATTTCCCCCCCCTAAATGCCTCTCCCACTGAAATTGGGATATACCATTTCATGAATATACTGTTTATGTATCATGGCACTTGGGTATGTTACAAACCATTGTAATATCTAAGATTTTTTTGCCTCCTGTTGAGACTACATCCTGTAGACCAGAGTTTCTCATCCTCCACAGTCCTGTCATTTGGGGTTGTATAATTCTTTGTTGTGCCTTGTGGGACATTTAACAGCATCCTTGGCCTTAACCTGTTAGGTGTTTGTAGCACCCACGGCCGGACAGAGCCAGACATTGCCCTGTGTTTCCTGAGGGACACCCCTCTCCCCCACCGTTACTGACAACCACTGCTGTAGACAAATCCAGAGGAAGTGAACATCCCCTGGCCAGTCCCACCTCTTAGGTGGAGGTGGCAGTGGTCATAAAGTTAATTGAATTGGCATTTTTTCCTACTCATTTTGACATATTTTCTATTTTAGTACTTACTGCCTTGTATTGTGATTATTTTTGATATATTTGCCAGATCTTCCCCCAAGACCAGTCTAGAGGATAGGTTATTTCAGAGCCAAAGTCATACCCCCAGCTCCAGTATAGGGCCTGGTGGAACCCTCAAACATATGTTAAATTAGTGCCATGAATGAAAAACAGAGCTTAGAGCTCAGGTCCTGGGGTTCTGGTCTCAGTGGGTCATTAACTCAGGTATGACTCACCTCAGATGATTTCCTGACATTTAAAATAAGGGGCTAAGTCATCTCTGTGATCCCGTCCAGTTCAAATGCTGCTTCAGAAGTCCATGTGATGTGTGTTAAAGCTGTTATGTAATCAAGGTGGTAGTTAAGACATTATGTTGACATAATGCAGACTGCTCTTCTAGGGCCTTAGGTGATATGTCAGAAATAAATGACAACTCCAGAGACTTTTACGATGAAGCTGAAGAACATACGGCCCCTCGGTGTTGTTCCCATGGGTGTTGGATGGGTGTTAGTCTCATTTTCCAGATGAAAAAAATCAAGGCACAGAGACATTAAGCCTGACTGAGACTGGGAGCCAGGTCTGTCATTTCAAGAGCTAGACCCGGGACCTCAGGGTCCATCGTTGTATATCATGCCCCAGCCTGCTCATTGTAAGTCTTGAAAGGTCTTGAAATCATTGGCATCGTGAAGAAAATGTGCCACCCTCTCTCTGGTCAGGCCTGTTGCTGAGCTTCAGTTTACTCCCACAGTCAAATGGGAATAAGAGAACCCATTCTGTCGGATGGCCTGCTGGGTGAGAAAGCACTGGACATACACATGTGTGGCATTGTCGTTACAAGAGTTTGTTGGGTGAGGCGCCTGGGTGGCTTAGTCGGGTAAGCATCTGACTCTTGATTTCGGCTCAGGTCATGATCTCACAGTTCGTGACTTTGAGCCTCGCATCGGGCTCTGCACTCACAGTGTGGAGCCTGCTTGAGATTCTGTCTCTCTCTTTGCCTTTCCCTCACCCATGCTCACTCTTTCTCTCTCTCTGCTCTCTCTGTACATTAAAAAGAGATTCAAACTCATAACATAGTTAAAAAAAAAACAACACAAGGGTTTGTTGGGCACCAGACAGGCAAAGAAAGAATGACAGAACTCTGCCTTGGGTGTCTTCTGTTCTGGATAGGATCCAAACACCACCCAAACAGCCACAGTGCCTAGCATTTTGTGGTCCTTGTCTTGTTTTCCTTGTTTTAGGGACAAGGAAACAGACAGTGGGTCTAATAACTAAGCCTCAGGTCTGCAGCTAGTGAGTGGCTCTCAGGCAGAGCTGAGTTTGAAGCCGAGCTTCGATATTATTACAACCTTGGACTTTATGTAAATCCCTTACCCTCTCTGAGCCTCCATAGCCTCATCATTAACATAGAGACAGTCACATTCACCCCTTGGGGTGCTAGTGTTCATGCAGTCACTCAGCAGTGATTTATTGAGCTCTTCCCATGTACCAGGCACAGGATACTGCGTGAAACAAGCAGACAAAGTCCGACCTGCACTCTAGCTGGGGTGGCTGGGGTGACAGAAGGCACATCCAGGGCCTACCTCAGGCCTGGTAGAGAAGATGTGCTCAGACAGTACTCACGGGTCAGGGCTCAGGGGGCTCTGCCCGTATCTCTGCCTTACTCCCTGTTGCTAGTGTCCAGTTGCTTGAGGGCTGTCACTGGCACGAGGGCCTGTTTTCAGCTGTACATGACCGATCTGAAGTGCCCAGGGAACAAATCCTCTCCTCCACCCAGAAAACCATAATCAGTGACTGGTGAGGTTTGCAGGTATGTAGCCCAGCTCACTACTTCTGGAGAAATAACTGAGGCACCAGTAGGATTGAGCTCCACTTGTCCACCATGGTCACTAACTTGATGGAGCATTCTTTATTAGCTGCCTCCCACCCGTGACCCACTCCCCCACTCCCTGCTGGTGTCTCCTGGGATCACCTTCCAAAGGAATGCCCTTGAATTCTGGTGTCAGCATTGGCTTCTGAAGAAACCCAAACGAAGACCCATGGCCCCATTCCACTCCTGAGAGTTCTGGGGCCTGAAGCACAGAGCAGGGGCTCTAAGCAGCTCTAGAGAAGGGTGGCTGTGACGTGTGGCTGTGGTAGTTAGCCAGGAGTTTCTATGGCCTAGAGGTTGGAGAGGGCTGGAAATGAATATTCTGAGCCCTGCTGGATGCTAGCTCTCTCCCATCATTGTTCTCATTTTACACATAAGGATGCTCACAGAGGTTCTGTCCCGTCAGTGTCCCACAGGTCAGAAACCAGACTATTCAGGGATTCAGATCTAAGCAGCCTGACTTTAGAGAAAGGTTTCTTTCCTTTTTTTTTTTTTTTT